CAGAACTTAAGTTCTTATTTTCCTGATTTTCAGTTTTTAAATGATTAAACCAACATGCATGTAACTTGTTTTCATTGTGGTATTTGATAAATGGTAAACTTTTGCTGTAATCACTGCATACAGCACATCTTAGTTCTCCCATGATGTTGTGAAGGGGGTAGACATGGAATGGATGTACTGTATATAAGCAGAATAAAGCTGTTACCTTACCAAAGCTGCATATGAAAATGCAAAAATGCATTCAGACACCCTACTAGGTACCAGTTTTCAGCTGTATCTATGTTAGAATAGCCACGGTAAGCCTATGGAGTATTGTATTTCCACTAGTGAGAATGTACTGTTGTGTGCTACATTGTGCAGAGAGCAACAGCAGAGTGTCCTGACTCGATTCTGCCGACGTAGTTCAGAGTTCATGTGTGAAAACAGTTTAAAAGCTTAAAAACACTGGACCGTAATTTCTATATTGTACACGTGTTTGAATATTACTAGGCAGCTGCTAGAGAAACAGCTGACTAATTATGGATGTTCACAGTGATTATGAAGTACATATGAAACAGCTGATGCTAATCAGTTGCCTCTTTTCCTACCGAGGCAGTGACGGTGCATTTTAAAGGGGAAAAAAACGGCACAAAACCCAATATACACTCTTTCACGCATTGACACCTTTCATGGCTTATTTTTATTCTGTACTTTAATAGGGAAAAAAGGTACCCTTTCTTTGATGTCTCTTAATTATTGACTGAGGTATCTACAAAAGTGGCCCCCTTAACAATACATTTTATTCTGAGGTGCCAGTTCATCCATGTCCATGTCCTCATTACATCTCCTTTTAAGCTGAACAGATCAAGTATCAAAGCAGCCATCAAGTTAATCTTCTCTCTGCCAGCCACAGCCCACAGTAATGAGCAGATCAGATCTCTGACCGGCATGTACCCCAGACAGGGCACTGCTACTGAAAGGCGGTTAGATGTCTTTTAGGAGGCAGTGAGGGTTGACTGCCAAGCGGAGATGGGCCACGTACCGCAGCCACCTTTATCCCATCAGCTGGGAGGAGACAAGGAAGAGGGGGAAATGAAGGCAGGAGAGTAACCTGTTCTTACTTGGAGAAGTAAAAGTGGGATGAAAAGAGAACGACGCAAGGGAGAAAGAAAGAGAGAGAGAGAGACCCTCATTAAAAGGCACTGTGTTGGCTTCACAATCATCCCACCACTTCAATGCGCTGTCATGCAGTGATGTATCGCTCTGCATGGCGCTACCAAGGCCTTTATTCCCACTCTCCTCCATGTTTCTCTCTTCTAGCCAATTAAACGCCCACTAGAATCGAGGGGAGGAAGTGCCACATTGAGCATTGCACAATGTGGAGAGAGAACGCTGATGAAAGGACATGTCTCTTTTAGTCTGCTTAATAGCTCCAGGACACTGTCTGAGTGGCGTTTAATGTCTACAGCATATTCGCCGTTCCTGTTGTCCCATTTCAGTTTCTTCACACGTACATATACTTTATCACCAAGGGATGAAAATGTTTATCACAACTATGAATATTTCATTCATTGTAGTTAAGCTGACTATTGGCAGGCATCACGGCTGTCTTAATGCACCTGCTCTTGAAATGACATGAAAGATCATAAAGAGGCTCACATCCAATGATGAGTCGTCAGTCAAACCAAAACACTCGTAGAATTTTTCAACGCTGATGTCTTTTTCTTTCTCTTTTTTTACGTTTTTGTTTTATCTTGGCATCCTGCTGGCTTCAGGACAGCCACATTGACGTGGGGGTTGACACAAACAGGTGCACACGCTAAGCATTTACACTGTATTTACCACACTCTCCTCTGTCTGCCGCGCTATGAATAATGCAGGCCCTAAAATCCTCAACTCGACAATGTGTTTGACCTGTTCATTTGTAGCTGCAGCGCCGATGGCGGGGTCAGAATATGGATGTGTTAACGCCGGGCTGAAGCAGAAGTTAATCGCAACAGCGGGACGGGACAGGCTTTGCTGCTTCTCATGCTGCCTGTGTCACTCAGGCTGACACCATAAATCTCACTTATTTTCAGATCCAAGTGAGACACGGGCAGAAATTACGGCCCAGAGCACATTACCAGCCTCAGCAGCGTGCTGAATGCTAACAGAGAGATCCTTGATAAAGCAGACAGGCAGTTCTCCTGCACCTTATTGGACAAAAAGAATCCCATGTATTAGACTTGAGGGGCCAGACCGGCTCGTAAGTAAAGCACAAACACCGGCGTCAACAGGTGAGATGCAAACTAACATTCAATCCACATACTTAGAGGTGTCTCTAAAGGTATCGGCTAAAAATCTATATAATGCATGCACAGGTGAGGGACACCACCGTTCAAACCTGAGAACATCTTGATTGGTACAATACAGTTTCGGGCCAGTTCTCATTTTTATTGCTGCTTCGCATGAAGGAATAAAAAGTACTCCGTTTTTATTAAATGTGTGTGTCATTTTCAGATGCATGCTGCACATCACTGTTCTAAATCAATGCTCACTGGAGATGGTGTTTCAGGTGTGACTAAGCTATAGCATCTTTGCCTGGCTGTCATCATGAGGATCTGTTTTGTTAAGGGTCTTTATAAGAAAGCCTAGTATCTTTTTTTCCTCCCTGCAAGGCCTCCTAAAGAAATAATATTATCTGATAAAGATAATCCCTACTCCCCATTTAAAGGCGACATTGACACATGACATATAAACACAGAATATCCTTAACTGTACGTTTTGCTCATAAGTCAGTAGCCATGCTGCCGACGTTCGCAGTTACTGTATGTCGCATATCGTTCTCGTCATTTCTCCCGATGAAAACATTGTTTGTCACCGCTCATCTTAGGCCTTGTTATTCTTGTAACAACAGATCATAAATCATAAATAATTTAAAAGATAACATAGTGGCAATACTGCATTTTGACGTGATGTGTTAATTTGTTAGAGTTGTAATCTGCTGCATTCAGTACAAAGGAAGCTCGCTTCGTGACACGACACAGAAACCAATTATTTTATAGCGTGTCTTATCTCCTTTTCAGCCAATTTCACATTAAATGCAATACGTATTTGGTCCTATCAAAGGCTGCTGTTTTCTCCCGCTGTTTCTGATACGACGCAGAGGAGGCCTTCAGAAAAATCTTTACATGCTAAAAGTAGCACTGGTATTATAAATGGCACATTCAGAACTATCAAAATAAAGCTTGCATCTCAAAGTCCAGCCTGATCTATAGTAAGAACACGTGCATTTCTTTTAGTTTCGCAGGCCCATATTTCATTGTCTCTTCATTCACACTTTTTTAACCTGCTGATGTTCGCCACTGGTCTCTATTATGTGTTTAATTTCGCTGTCTATGTCCGAGCGTGCGGACCGCTGATGCATCACCGTGCGATCCCACTGTGGCTTATTACTGCCAGGCTTCGCTCTCTACAGCTCTCGGCCCGCTGGGTCATATCCAGCTGCTGTAATCTAACATTAGCGCCAGCTTTCACCAGGTCCCCACCATTTACCCTATCATATATTATAGATGACCCTCTGAAAATGGAGGAATCCCAGCAGACGTGGAATTAATTTACAGCATTCCTCGGTTTTAAGACGAATTGAATCAAACTCAGTGGCACAGCAAGAGAAGGGTTTATATTGCTATATAACACTGTCACAGTCTATAAAATTGTAATGAAACGCCATTTGAAGATTAAGTGGGTTTTTTTGTGATTCATCGGTATCTCTTGGCTCAGCTAATAATCATTTCACTCCAAAGCTGAATGATGCTACAAATGACCAGCCTTACAAACGACGAGCTTTCTTTCAATCAAACTTAATCCTCCTTTTCTTTTTTTTTCTTTCTCTTTGAATGAGCTCCATTGGAAAGCTCACAAACAAGTCTTTGGAAAGCGAGTGCACGGCTCTTGTGTACTTCCCCGGTGACTGTGGGATATATATGAATATGGACAGGAAGTCAGCCACTGTAGATTGGTCCTGTCTGTGCCTGTCAGGTTTAGCAATAAAACACTAAACAAATGAGACGTTTAATTCAACAGGCATCACTCAAGAGGAAGATTTCTCTGTTAAAAGGGGGGGAAAAATAGTAGGAACACATCTTCAGTGCTGGCAAAGCTTCAATACAGTGGGGACAGAAAAAAATGCCTTCGGGTTCTCGCCTATTGAAATCAAGGAAATCTGAGCTTTTGTGAGACTGTCTCTTTAGCAGAATGAAAACATCTTGAAAATAGAGACTTTTGTCATGCTTTACAATTAGCTGAAGTCCCTTAAGTTCACCAGGCGCAATATATGCGTGCTCTACACTGTAACTATTGAAAAGTACACTTTGACCTTAGTAGCGACTATTTACTGTGGCGCTCAGGGTTCTGTAGCAGTTTGTGTAATTGAAGTGCAATTTCTGTGGGCTGAATAGGCAGAAGAGACAATCCAATGTGCTTTGGTGACTTCAGAGAGAAAAAAGTTAACTCAGACTTATCTTAATTGGTTCCGATTATCTTCTGTGACAATGCTGGTGTGTGTATGTGTGACTGCGTGCGTGCGTGTGTGCGTGCGTGCGTGCGTGTGTGCGTGCGTGCGTGTGTGTGTGTCTGTAATGAAAGGTTAAGATTTCTGTTCAGAGTAATGAAGCTGTGCCAGTGGACTTAAAGGACCGGGGCTGTCTGATCACTGATGTCATTTACTGGAACGATCTCTACTGCAGTCCAGGGGCAAATTGGAGCATTTGGTTCTTCTGTTTCTTTCACAGAGCCTAGTTAAGTGTGATTGGGCAGCAAGTGCCAATTTATACATAATGGAACTGACTAGTGTTGGCAGGTTAAGTTTGACTTTTATGAAAAACATTGTAGGTAAGGTAAGGGAAAGATAAAGGATAAGATAAGATATCCATCAGTTATTAGTCTGAAGGTTTATCCACAAATGATTAACTTTCATTTCTAAGCTGTTACTTTCTAACTGTCTCTTTGCTTTGATCTCTGTCTTCTTTTTATATCTTCAGGACTCTGAGATTCTGAACACCGCTGTATTGACTGGAAAGACGGTGGCTGTTCCTGTAAAGGTGGTGACTGTTGGAACTGACGCCTCTGTTACTGACGTCTCTGAAGCAGCGACATGTCGCTCAACAGACGAAGACGTGGTCAAGGTCAGTAAGATCAACTTCTGAAAAGAGGGGGGGGTAAAAGACTCCCGCAATCTCTGCTCTCGCATAAACACCATGCCATCGCAGGCTTCAGATTAGTTTCTGTTGGTGTTTTTCAAAGAGTGACATTTTATTTATTTATTTTTACATGAGCTGCTACAGCGCAGTGCAGTACCAAGGTGATGCCCTGTGCAAATATGACTTCAGATATATAGACAGGCGCAGTACTAGTATGTAAAGGGTTTGCATTCTTAAGTAATGTTGTGTATGTGTCTACTCTTCGGTTTTAGTTCAGTTTGGTTTTATTTAGTTTCCAGAGTGGGTTTTATTGATTCAGTTTGATTTTTATTGTTTGAAAAAGTGTAGTTTTCTTTAGTTTTCATTATTTTCTGTGTTAATTTTACTATTTTAATTATTATTGTATGAAAGGCATATGTCAAGATTTAGGAAACTCTATACAGGTATAACAATAAAAACACAGAACTTGTTGAAAGCAGTTGACTCCCGGTCTTGTAGACATCCATCAAAGTCTCATTAGGCAAGCTAAACAATTTGGGCATATTTTATTTTTATTTTATTTTTGTTAGGTTTTCAACTTAACAACATCATTTTTTGTAGTTCTTTGCTTTTAAGACTAGTTTTTATTTTTATATTAGTTAACAAGATTTTGGTTTTCAAATTTTATTTTATTTTAGTTATCTATAATATAACCTTTATGTGTGGATATACCTGCAAAATATGTTTAAATGCTTAATAGTAAATCTGTTAAATGTGAACAACATGTAATCTAAAATGTCTGTAGTCCATTTAAGTTAATCAAATGCAATTTGCAATGAAAACTCAAATTGCCATTATAATTAACCCACATATGAGCCCATGTAATTATATTAAAGATTAGGTAGGTAGTGCATTTTTTATAGAAAGTGTTGAAATGATGTTTAGTACATTTAGCACACATGCACCCTGAAGAAAATGAAAACAAACACTGGAAAACAACATGAAAGAGCATGTTTGATATGCAGTGACAACTGACAACTTTTTCTTTATACGGTCCCTTTTAAACCTGCAGCATGAAACCAAAAAACAAAAAAGTGTAAAAGTGGCTTTGCTATGCAAACAAAGGAAGTCACACTGAGACGGGATCCAAGAGACTCAATGCAAACCCAAAGAAGAAACAGTCACATCAGTCAGCACCCCCACGGCTCATTTGGATGAGTGTGCAGGCCCGTGGACAGAAGGTTTGGCCCTTCCTGCAGTGTCTTGGTTAGATTCTGCCAGAGGCTCTTTGCTGCATGTCATCTCTCCTTTAATTGTCCCACTATTTTTTCTGCCTCTACTGGCTCTATCCAAAAAGCCCCACAATGAAAATGCCTGTGGTCTGTTTCCATTTCCAAATGGCTGTGATGTTAGTTTATATCAAAACAACCACCACATTGCTGGGTCATATTTCCTGTTAAATGCTGTCACGATTCACCTTGAAGGTTAACAAAAATTAAAAGCTATAGTAGACGAGAACATTTACCATAATTGATCACCTTAAATTGTCGTAAGTGTGTTCTGGAGGACGATTAAGTGAAGAAGGATGCTTCTGCTTTAAAAACAAAAAGCCCCACCTGCAGCATACTTACTGTTGCTCACTCAGGAAGGTTTTTTTTGATAATCATAGCCTGTGATCGTATACATAAAGGTGACAGATTGTGACCTGGACGATTAGGATTAAATAAACACAGAGTGACTTTAACATAGAACAGTGAATCACATCACATGAAATGGTGCTTCCACTTACTCCAGCCTCCTAAATTACAGAAATACCAGGTTACATGATTTTTCTTTAAAGCTCTTTGGGAATTTGTGCAGTTTACACAAATTTGTTCTGTGTAGGAAGAAATAAGGCTATGTCTGTGCTTATTCTGGGTTATCATGTTGACAGCTACGTGTAAGGCTCATGCAAAGCTCACCATATGAGCTGCATTTACTGTGTGTGAATCTATGGAAATGTTTTTTCAAGCTCTTCTATTGGCTGTGTTGTCAGATTGAGGCAATTTTGATATCTCATTTGTGTCATTGTCCTCTTTTTTTTTCACTTAGCTTGCCTACATCACCTTATACATGTTCACACAATCCAAAATAAGTGTTACCTCTGGCTCAGATCCAGCACTGTTCCAAAGAAAGCCACGTTTCTTTTATATTTTTGTTTTCCAGGTGCCTCCTTAGCACAGTCCAACCAAAGCCATAGGAGTGATAGCTTTTGCTGTAATGTTGATTAACAAGTTATTCTTTCTTCAGGTTGCCTCCACTGGCTGTGGTTACCCATGGTTTGCTTCATAAATCCATATCCATGTAACAGATTTAATTTTTCTCCTCCTGGGCAACTTTGACAAAAGCCTTTTAAGTGTATAGAACTTGCCTCTGTGTGAAGAAAGTACTGATACTGCAAAATAACAATTCATTCATAACATTTGCAGCATTAATAACTTGGAGCTCTGTCTTCACGCTCAGCATTAAACAATTTCTTGTTTCAGAACTGAACTGTGAATTCTAGTCAGAAAAGATGTGCGGTATTTCAGCAGCTCGCACAAATAAAAGAATCATTGAAATAACAACAGCAACACACACATTCATGAAATTGCAGGGATAATCTTCCATCTTCACATTAGCCATGAAGGTCGTGTTATGAGCGAGCTCCTGCAACTCCTGCTATCGTCGCGCAGCATAATCATTAGAAACCTTGCTATGTGCAAACCTTTTCCTTGCACTGAAGTGAGCGCTGAATCTTATGCAGAGATGTCTGAGCAGCTTAATTGCTTCTGTCAAACCGGCTCTGTGTACAAGCCAGAGACAGACTCATCCTACCTTCATACTCCCTACTCCCATCGCTCATATCTGCCTTGGATTGTGACTGTCTGGTGAGTAGTTAATTTCCTGGGCTAGATCCAGAGACAGCCTTAATGTCCTCTGTAAGTATTCTCCCGTTAGCTGCCTAATGCGCCTGATTAATGTGGCGGTGGATCCTCCTGGACGTTTACGATACTTTGTAAAGAAGAATGACGGAGAGCGTGTAACTCGCAGAGGCAGTTCCACCCTCGGCGTGGCGCGACACATACCCAGTGGTGAGGGTGGAGGAGGGGTTAAAGGGCCTGCTGATTAAGTGGCAGTGTCCCCTTATGTCGCAATATTGATTTAAGTCTATTCTGGCCAATCAGAGCGCACAGCAGGGCGGTATAAGCACGCCTGTGTAATTGGTCGGGACAGCACGATGTCAGCTGCCATGTTTTCCGTAATTGTTTCTCCCTAGATTAGTGGGGTGTTGATCAAATTCCTAGCAGGCAGTTACAGTAATTTCCTTGTCATTAAGAATACCGTAGCAGAGCTGTACATTAATAAATACCAGATGTTTACAATTTTTTTATTAATTTAAATTTTGTAGGCTTTTTTTTGTAGTTTTTTCATTTAGCTACTAGATATGGTGAGTGAGCCCTGCACGTTTTTCGGTCAGGCATCGCATAGCCTGCAATTCGCTGCTCATGCAGCTAAGTTGCTTCACACCAACTAAGTAGAGTCAGAGATGAAGAGACTGTCAAAGCACTTCAGTCTCAGCAGACTGAGTGTGGTGAGAGAAAAAGAGGCTAACAATGAGAGCTGATAAAGAGCAGGGACTCCTCTGACATCTTTATCTGTTCAAACACACTCCCGCATCGGGAGCGCTGAGTCCTATCTGCTCCATGACTGACTGTAACCAGGGGAAGGACACCGCACTCGTACAGACGTTTAAAAGCTTCTTTAAGCCGTCGGTCTGTGTTTCATTGCACTGTAATACAAGATACCACTTTGTACGTTCTCCGTATTTGGCATAATAACACAAAGGAAATATCCACTCATCCTTCATGTGTCCACTTGAAAATGCAAGGCCTGTGCAGTTCTTAACAGAAGTTCTCTGATGGTTAGATGTAGCCTTGAAGGATGCCCTACAGCGTGCGTTTCATCTTTCTCACAGGGGCTTTCAGAACTTTTTGGTCTCTGGTCATAGAGTCCACTGCTGTTGATAGCTCGCTGCTGTGCAGGAGACTTTTTAACAGTTTAAGAATGGCTGGTGTAATAACAAATGTTATAAATAGGGGGTAGCAATTCAAGTTTGTACAAAGAAAAAAACAAATAATTATACCATGAGTAATTTTAAGTAGTGTGCAATCAGTTCAGTTACAATCAGAAACTGTTCACAATGTTTGAGGATCTGCACCAAAATTGTTAAAATTACTATTGTTTATCACTTGTCCCTCCTTTTCTGTAAAATACCTATAAATGTGCATTACTTAAAGTTACTTACAGTATAATTATTTCTTCTTCTGTATTTTACTCAAGTGTATCTATTAGTAGATGTTTGTAAGTAAGTGTAACTACATTGTAATGCCAGATAAATTACACTGAAATTCCTTTTAATTCTAGCAGAATTACACCCTTAGTGACAGGCCGTATTCATACATGCCAACCCTCCCTCCCGATTTTTCCGGGAGAGTCCTGAATTTCAGTGCCCATCCCGAAAATCTCCCGGAGCCATCATTCTCCTGAATTTCTCCCGATTTTCCACCCGGACAACAAAATTGAAAAACCATATCGCAGAATTCATAGTGCGGCCCAGCCAATTCCAGTTTCCAACAATGACGGCAGCTACTTAGTTTAATATTACTCTTATTTCTCTTTCTGGGTCGCAAAATAAACTTTTAACATATTTTCAGACGAGAATGTAGCTGTGTAAACTTCAAAAATATCTGAGCTGGCGAGAACACCAAACACCCGACACATCGTTTTCAAACCCCCGCAGTCTTTCACTACTCGGGTTAAACATGATATATAAGTCACTTTGATAACTTAAAAATGTTATTGTTTGGCTTTTTCAGTGTTTTATTTGTTTGTGAGTAAAATGGTTTGGCTGAGATTAAAGTTATTAGATTAGGTTAATTTTAACTTTATTAATCCCTCGGGTGGGTTCCTCCGGGGTTTTCACACAGCTGAATAAAAGTCAAACAGAAAACTGATTAAACAGAAGTGTGAGACGGTCAAGAATTTACGCCAGCGCCCGGTTATATTTTAGATAGCAAGGAGCAGACGGCAGAGTTTCACTCCACCGAGAGAGCTCGTGACGTACTACCCGGCTTTCTTTAGACCGCGAAGGCCGGGTCCTCAGGTGGAAGCAGCCTCTGAATTTGGACACCCAGCTGTTTCTGGCCAGCCAATAATAACAGTGATATTTAACTTATTTTATCCAATAAATAAACACTGTAAAATTTATTTATCAACCCCCCAACAGCCCTTTTGAAGGTCTCAAGGTTGGCAAGTATGGCTGTATTCTAAAGTGCTACTGAAGTTCCCAATGATTTGGCTAGTTAGATTCCATCCATCCATTCGCTTCCGCTTATCCTGTTCAGGGTCGCGGGGGGCCTATCCCAGCTGTCATAGGGCGAGAGGCAGGGTACACCCTGGACAGGTCGCCAGTCTGTCGCAGGGCTAACACACAGGGACAGACAACCATTCGCACTCACACTCACTCGCACATTCACACCTAGTGGCAATTTGGATTATCCAATTAACCTATCCCCACAAGCTGCATGTCTTTGGACGGTGGGAGGAAGCCGGAGTACCCGGAGAGAACCAACGCAAACACGGGGAGAACATGCAAACTCCACACAGAAAGACCCCGGCCTGATGGTGGAATTGAACTCAGGACCTTCTTGCTGTGCGGCAACAGTGCTAACCACCGTGCCACCGTGAGTTAGATTCCATTCCTGCGTAAATTAGAGTAAAATTCAAGCATAACATAAAGCCTGATTCTTCCAACCAGTGAATTCCATAGTACGTGCTTCAGAAACACTTAAAATAAGATAAAAACTTTTTAATTTAGCTGATGTTGGCTGATGTTGTCCCCTTCAAGATCCTCTCCTTTTGCAGTTCTGGACTCTTTCCAGTGCTGTTACTCTTACAAATGTGTGAGTTTGTGATGCATGCTGAATTTCATGCACTGCATCCAAAAAGTGATTTTGAGGTGTAGGACAAAGAGAGGTGCTAAGTGACAGTTGTGTTCATACAGCCAAAATATTTTGTACACAATGCCCTGCTCCACAGTTCAGGCCATTTGTTCTGAAAATTCATAAATATAAAAACAATCATAAGTGCTTATGATGCTCACCGCATGTGCCGCCTCTTGGCTTGGTCACTGCGAGGTCTTCCACTAAAGACTGCTGTTGTAGCCGGAGACCCGGCTCACCTCTGGTCCCTGATATGAAGGTTTGGTCAGTTTGACTCTGAAGTTTTCTGCACAAATGTACAAGCAGTCAGAGGGATAAGCGGTTTACCAGTGGAGAAGGAGACAACCTTAAAGAGAAAAGCAGCTTAATTCAGATCAGATCAGATATGGGGCAACTTTGTGAAAAAGTATAAACTTGTACCATAATCACTACCATGTCGTCTGGTTGACAAAAAGAAAGAAAGAATCACCTCTCTCCACTGCCGACCTGCTGTCAAACTCGGGAAGGCAAAGAGAAAAGAAACAAAATGTGCACACGTGGACTACAGATATGTCCAAAATAGTTTTATACAAAAACTGAATAAGAAAACAAAGTACCGAAATAGTGTTGAAGGTATGTGTTTTATTGCACAAAAACACTACTATGCATTTCATTTCAAAGCAGATTTTGCATGTGCATGTTATTGCATCAAATTGTTCTTTCACTTCTTTCCTGACTTTGAAGCTGCGTGTTTATATCCATATGTCAAGATGAATGGGAGCAAAAGAAATCAGCTGGAAGGTCTCTCATGATGCTGTTTTGATGTTCTGTTGTTTTGATCAAGCGTACACCAAGTGGGGCTATTCTTGCAATCCACATACCAGATCTTGAGGAATGCCACTAGTTCAGCCTGCAAGCTCAGTGGTGCAGACAGAAAAAAAGAAATAAACAAAATTTTAAAAATCGATGCGGCAACTCTCCAAATATCTGCTTTTATTTATACAAAACAGCCACATTTACTTTCCACGGTCCCGCACAAACTCCACAGCTAGCTTCATGCTGAAGGTGAAGTGAACAGAACACATTCTGTCACACACAATTTTTTTTCCTCCTTTGGTCTCAGAGGATATCCTGCCACAGCTTCATGATAAATGGTTGTTTATGGTTTTATCTCACTGTAGAGAAATAACTTGGAAGAAGAAGAAGAAGCAAGGAAAAAAAGATTTTTTTCCCAGACCGTCGAATTCCATCTGGTACCAGCCATGGCAGTCTGTTCCAAGATGAGATTAATATGTAAGATTGAGAAAACGCCCAGAGGAATAAAAAATGTGTTCCTACATTCAAGATATACTAAATAATTACCTATTAAGTGCTTAGACTTAAAGAGGTAATTGTGTGTGTCTGTAAATCCTCATAATCAATAATCAAGGAATAACCTTCCGACGGTTACATGTTTCTAAAGCAGAAAACTGGCTCACTAATTCTTTCTATGACATAATTTACAAAACCACTAGCTTCAACTTTGGTCATTTTTATCAGCTGTCATCTTACTAGTGTCCATCTGCTGGTTCCTCTTTCAGCTGCAGGCTGAACAACAATAAAACAGCAGACCATGCTGTGCTTTCCCTCAGGTTCAAAGATGTCCTTGCTGTCCTCCCCCCTCTTCTCCTGAGAGTCGAGCAGATCGAGGACCTTTCATCTTGTTCAAAGTAGTTACAGGAATGCTATATCAGAGGAGTGCTCAGAAGTGTAAAGCCTTATAATCAACTCGCAGGGCCGGGCCCAACATGGTACTCTGTACAGTATATTGCACTGTGTAATTTGCTGTGTAGTCATCTAGTGCAGCCGTCAGAAGAGCTCAACTTAAATGCTGTCTTTTTTAATCCTCCCCCCTCCTCACATGCAGGTGTCTGACAGGTGTGACTACGTTTTTGTGAACGGCAAGGAGATGAAGGGCAAGGTGAAGATGATGGTGAACTTCACCCACGGATACCTAAGTGCTCAGCTGGAGCTCAACGTGTGGATCCCCCGTCTCCCCCTCCAGATTGAGGTGTCAGACACGGAGCTGAGCCAGATCAAAGGGTGGAGGGTGCCAATAATGGCCACCAATCAGAGGTACTGCAGCGCGTGCATCTGTTGCTAAAGGGGCTTTGCGACTGTGTGTTCTGCTCTCTTATTTTTCCAGGGAGACATTTGTTTTACTAATTGGATGGAATATAACGTGATCTTTATAATTAACGTTTAGTCATTTTCTCACTTTCGTGTCAGCTCCTGCGCAGCCATTTCCAGGCGTAATTTACAGTTATCCAAGAAAGAACACCAAGGTTACATCACAAACTTTAGTACAAGTTGTTAAGTTTAATAAAAATAAATTGGTAATTTGTTGACTTTTGCAGCCCCAGTTTCAAGAAAGTACAAGTTCAAGAATAGCCTTTCTCCTCGGTGATGTATTTGATTTCAGTAATGGCAAAGATAAGGTAATGATGTGACATGTGACGAACACCACTCCACCTGTCTCTTCCTGACTTCAGTCCTACTGACAGGTCTTGGCTGATAACAAAATGGCTGACCTGTGCATTACAGCTTGTCATTACGACTGGCTTAGGGTGGCCTGCCATTGCGCCTTGTGCCTGTCAGTTGGAAAGAACATTATTAGAGCTGTCTGGAGGTCAGACTTCTCCCCTGGGGCCTCATCACTACACAGCACCTCTGCTAACGCTGCTGCGCAGTGTTACTCTGCAACTGTTGAAATCCATCAATTGATGGAGCAGTTATCAGCCACCTACGGTAATTACTTCAGGAAAAGCGTTGAAGTTAGACTTTAAGTCATCCCACGCACCAGTGTGGCTACTCTAATTATCCCTGCTCCCCTCTTATTTTGAGTGACAGCATTCAACTAATACTGTGGCTTGTCCAGGTTGTTGCTTTTCCAGCTGTGTGCTGCTATGCCTTTATCAGCGGAGACAGCCAAGCCATGTTGTCACTGTTGACGCCAGCACCGGAGCTTTGTTTTTCCCCATCTTCGGCACGTCTTTGTTTATCGGGGGATAACAGGCGTGACCTTGCAAAGAAACACTATACCTGTTGATGAGAATAAGCTTTGGTCCACGGTCCGTAACCACACGGAGAAGTAAGCCAGCGAGCAACAATAGCAAGCGGCATGCCATTCCTCTATCGGGAAAGCTGGCAAGTTGTGGCCACGCTGGGAGGAGAGAGACAGAAATATAAAAAATAAAATAAAGACACATTAGGCCTGTTAGTGGGAGAACTGCAAATGTACTCCTCACACAGTTTTGACTGACACTGCCTGTATGGCTCACCTCTTCCCTCCCTAAGCCCTGTCAAAGCACAGACAAGATAAGCCTTTGCAGACAGCAAACCTAAGTGTAGGCGTAGCACTCGAGCATCCACCATCCTTTACCGCTTCTCTCAGGATATGTATGTTGAGATTTTACTTGTTTAATCAAGGTGATCATTTAATATTCAAAAAGAAAAGAAAAAGCGGCCCTCAGTTATCCTATAGAGTGCATACCGAGTGTTTTCTTGCTGCTGTAAAACAAATAGCTGTACTGACATGCCTGCAGCATTCAAATTCGAAAAATATCCACCAGTGTTCTTTCATATAGAAACAACATTCCTGCTATAACGACCTTCATCGTGTCACTGTAGTAGTTGAATGCCAACACAAACGCAGCACATGATCCACAGGCACAACAAAAATAAGCATGGCACACGCATTAATATGCAGCACCTCCTCTGAAGTCAGAGCTGGGCTTGAAAGCGAACGGAGCAGAAAGAAAAATTGCTTTGTGAAGCGGGTTGTTCTCAGCACTGAGTGTGATTTGTTTATTAGATTAACCTTAGATTAGATTTTGAGATGGTTGCACAAGTATTGGCATATAAGATTTATGCCGAGGCTAAAATGGTCAGACTTCACCATCAGCTTGTTTACTCCTGAATGTGTTACACCTAACTAATAATCACATTTATTAGGTGTAACAATTACATGCCGGTTCAGTCTATGTCAGCGCATGCTCTCGAACATCAGAGCTATTTGTCAATTCATTGGCTGTGAATTTCAAGCGTTTACACTCAAAATGATTCAAAAAATGCAGTTATTGATGAGAAACTTTCAATTACTGCATTGGAAAAATAATATGGCGATTGTTACTATGGGCCTGGACTTGAACAGGTAATAAAGGCAGGGATGAGGAGTCAGGCTTGTAGTATTTCAAGTTTCATTTCTACCTCTTTGTCTCTTTGAGCTGGTTTCCATCTTTGCTTTGTGTTGCTGATTTGTGATGGTGTGTGGAACAGTAGCCTAAGGTTTATATAGTCAACTGGCAATTATGTGACGGTGCATTTCAAGTCATTTCTGAAGTAACGCAAGAGTATTGTTACGAGTAGTGTAACCTCACAATGTACAAGGGACCAGTTCAGTACGTCTCTAGATGCTGAATGACTCTGAGTGTATCTCACGCTCCACTTTTCTCTCACTCTGAACACGCTAAAGCTGTTCTCCACTTGAAGCAGCAACTCATACTCAATCTGGAGCAAGCAAACCATATCTTTCGGGGACAGAACTGTGACCTCTGACTTATAAACTCATACCTGTCAGTTTGCACTTAACTGAGCACTGAGACACCAATGGTTGGTGCTGCAGTAGGCATCCAAAACCAGGTGTGCCAGGTCTACCCAGAATCCTCCCCGACCACCTGGGGGGGGCGATCGTTTGAGTGCTGAGCTACTCTGCTCACCCAGGAGTTTTAAGACTCATGCAAAGCTGACGACATGATTACAAAATCGATCCCCTAATTAGACTTAGCTGGTGCCAAGTGTAATTAAGCTTAAAAGTGTTATTCATAATGCAAAACCAGTGATTAGCACAGACATTTAATAGCAAAACTGTCACGGGTTGCTCTGAGGATCCACTCGCAGGACTCCGGAGTTGTGTTTTAACAGAGACGGTTTATTCACAAAGTCTTCACCAAGTGTATTTACAGACAGTGCGAGGACAGTGCTATATACAAGATGTGGAGGAGGGTTCCAGGGCTCCAGGGAAAACAAGGGATCACACACACGCTCACGCCAACCTCTCTCCGCTAGTGACCAGCCACCTCTTACACGCTCCACACGGGGAAACACGGGGACGGGTCCGGGGAATCTAGAACAGAGAGACAATGTTACTTTCTGAGCGGAAGGTGGGAACTAGGGCTGACGTGTACTGACAGAGTCTTCAAACAATCCAGCGTTGAACAGCTGATCTCCTCCTTCTGATATACCAGCTGGTCTGATGAGGCCCAGGTGTGCATGATCCGGGAGGGCGTGGACCGAGGGCGTGAACCCGCCATGAGTTCCGCCCCGGCAAAACAGGGGAGGGGGAGAGAGATTGCTGATCAGTGCCTTGCCGACCCCGCAGGTCGTGACAGTACCCCCCCGCCAACGGGAGCCTCCTGGCGACCCCCAGGCTTCCCAGGGTGAGCCTCATGGAACCGCTGAACCATCGCCCGGTCCAGCAGAGCCGCCCGCGGGACCCAGGAACGCTCCTCGATGCCATAGCCCTCCCAGTCCACAAGATACTGCAGGCCACGGCCCCGGCGCCTGACGTCCATAATCCAAGTCACGGAGAAAGCCGGACGGCCAGCGATGACCCGGGCGGGTCCGGAAGGAGGGCACAGAGGACTGGAACAGTGGGGCTTGAGTTGGGAAACATGAAACACATTGTGGATACGCATGGTCCTGGGAAGCTTGAGACGCACAGAAACGGGGTTAACAACGGAGTCCACGTCAAACGGTCCGATGAAGGTGGGGAAGAGCTTTTGCGATTCTGTTCTGAGAGGCACATACCGGGTCGAGAGCCAAACCTTCTGTCCAGGTGAGTAGGCCGGGGCCGGGGTCCTGTGGCGATCTGCCTGCCGTTTGTTCCGATCCGCCGCGCGAAGAAGGGCAGCTCTAGTGGCCCGCCATGCGCGCCAACACCGCCGCAGGTGCTGCTGAACAGAGGGCACAAAGTGCTCACCTTCTATTGCAGGGAACAGGGGAGGCTGGTACCCCAGGGAGGCCTCGAATGGAGAGACGCCTGTAGCCGACGAGGCAAGGCTATTGTGAGCGTACTCCACCCACGTCAGTTGCTCGCTCCAAGTGGTCTGATTAGTGGACGTCAAGCAACGGAGAGCTGCTTTGAGTTCTTGGTTGGCCCGTTCCGCTTGACCATTGGTCTGTGGATGAAAACCTGATGAGAGACTGACCTGGGCCCCTAAGGAGGTGCAGAACTCCCTCCAAACACACGACGTGAACTGTGGGCCTCGGTCCGAGACCACTTCAGCGGGGATCCCGTGGAGGTGAAATACATGAGTCGACAGAAGCCGGGCGGTCTCCAGGGCAGTGGGGAGCTTGGGGAGAGCAACAAAGTGGGCAGCTTTAGAAAAACGGTCGACAATGGTGAGGATGACTGTGTTACCTGATGACGGCGGAAGACCAGTGACAAAGTCAACCGCAATGTGGGACCAGGGGCGGCTTGGCGTAGGTAAGGGATGAAGTAGGCCAGCAGCGGGCTGGTTGACAGGTTTATTCTAGGCACAGGTTGGACAGGCGGCGATGAATTCTTGGACGTCCTTGGCCAGTGTAGGCCACCAGGCGAACCGCTTGATGAAGGTGACGGTGCGATGAATGCCCGGATGACAGGTGAGTTTTCCGCCGTGGGCCCATTGTAGCACTCATGAGCGAACGGACGTGGGAACAAAGACCAATCCCAGTGGACCAGTCCCCGGATCTGGTTCTGCCCGCTAGGCCTCCCGTATGGCGGACTCGATCTCCCACGACAGGGCTCCGATAACGCATGAGGGAGGGAGAATGGGAGCCTCACGGGTGGGGTCCTCTGAGGCGGTGAATTGGCGGGAAAGGGCATCGGGTTTCACGTTCTGGGAGCCGGACCTGTAGGTGATGGTGAAGCAGAATCTGGTAAAGAACAGAGCCCACCTGGCTTGTCGGGCATTTAGCGTTTAGCCGACCGGATGTATTCGAGGTTCTTGTGGTCAGTCCATACCACAAAGGGTTCTGTTGCGCCCTCTAGCCAGTGGCGCCACTCCTCCAGGGCGAGTTTGATTGCCAACAGC